CTTTCATCTTGCTAGTCTCATGGTAGGAACGGAGGCCCCAGAGGAACTCATACTCTGGGGGGTTGCTGTTGGGCACTCGTCTGTAGTCCAGGTATCTGAAAGAGCAAAACAGTCTTTGTGTCTACCTACCCGGGCAGAATGGTAGTCCAGTAATGAAAAATAATCCTACATTTTTTAACATCAGATTTCAAATAGCAACTCCCCCTCGGGCTCATTCCTGAACACCATCAGGGTATTTACCCCTTAATCATCAAGCCTTGAATTCCTGCACCAGAACACTAAGCACTCACTTAGAGCTGCAGGCGACGCTTGTATAGGGTCACAGAAAGGACAACATTTCATTTCACTCCTTCTGCCTCAGCTCTAGCTCCAGATTCTTGTAATCTTGTCAGTGAGCCACAGAGGTCCATTGAAATGATTACAGTGTAGTGCAAAAGTGTCAGCCTGGCCCAGCCTTGGGAATGTCTACTGTGGGGATGGTGGATGGGCTTCACTTGCAAGACAACTACTTAGAAAAGTAGAAAAATTAGAAGAATTCTGGCTGGACATGGTGGCTCACACCTGTAATCCCAGCACTTTGGGAGGCAGAGGTGGGTGAATTGCTTGAGGTCAGGAGTTTGAGACCAGCCTGGCCAACATGGTTAAGTCCCATCTCTACTAAAAATACAAAAACAGCCGGGCATGGTGGCAGGCACCTGAAGTCCCAGTTACTCAGGAGGCTGAGGCACAAGAATTGCTTGAACCTAGGAGGTGGAAGTTCAAGCGAGCCAAGATTGCGCCACTGCACTCCAGCATGGGCAATAGAGTGAGACTCAGTCTCGAAAAAAGCAAACAAAAGAATTCGCCGGGTATGGTGGCCCACGCCTTAATCCCAGCACTTTTGGAGGCCGAGGCAGGAGCATCACCTGAGGTCGGGAGTTCGAGACCGGTCTAACATGCAGAAACTCCATCTCTACTAAGAAGACACAATTAGCTGGGCGTGGTGGTGCATGCCTGTAATCCCAGCTACTCGGGAGGCTGAAGCAGGAGAATCGCTTGAACCCAGGAGGCAGAGGTTGCAGTGAGCCAAGATCATGCCATTGAACTCCAGCCTGGGCAACAAGAGTGAAACTCCATCTCGAAGAAAAGAAGAAAAGAAAAGAAGAGAAGAGAAAAGAGAAGAGAAGAGAAGAGAAAAGAGAAGAGAAGAGAAGAGAAGAGAAGAGAAGAGAAGAGAAAAGAAAAGGAAAGGAAAGAAAAGAAAAGAAAGAATCTAACCACGAGGAGTATATGCAATAAATACTCCTGAGGACACACGTTTCTGTACGCACAGAAACACATATGCACAGGTACAGTGTAAGAAATGAGCTTCAGAAGGGCTTTCTTTTATTTTTTTTTTGAGACAGGGTCTCGCTCTGTTGCCCAGGTTGGAGTGCAGTTGGCATGATCACAACTCACTGCAGCCTCAACTTCCTGGGCTCAGATGATTCTCCCCTACCTCAGCCTCCCAAGTAGCTGGGACTACAGGTGCATGTCACCACGCCTGGCTAATTTTTGTATTTTTTGTAGAGATGGGGTTTCGTCATGTTTCCCAGGCTGGTCTTGAATTCCTGGGCTCAAGGGATCTGCCCACCTGAGCCTCCCAAAGTGCTGGGATTACAGGCGTGAGCCATTGTACCTGTCCAGGAAGGGCTTTCTAAAGCTGACCAGCACACAAGCAGAATCATAGGGAGCAGGAAAAGCCCCTTAGGCATCACTTACTTTTGCTTTACAAACTCGTAGGTGAGAAGTTTCCTTAGATCTCCAAGGAGGGGATGTCTCACCCTGAAGGTGAAAAAAGGAAATCCACAATCAGAGGCTATTACTGTGCCCAAAGAGCTTTCCAGAACAGAGGTCAGAGATGAGAAAAGAGGCAGAGAGTTCAGAACTGTTCCCCCATCCACCCAGGTTACATCTTTGGGCTCTGAACATCCCCAAACCAAACCCTCGAGACCCCCAGGTTAATGCAATCCTGGGACCATCCACTGTTGCCAAAGGATGGTACAAACGGGTAAGAGATGAGAGAGCCCAATCATACCCAGGACGCAGTCCCATCTTGCGTAGTGCCTCCCAGAGGACAGCTGCAATGGGAGGCAAGGGGAGACAAGGGACGGAAAATAAGCATGGAAATCAGGCTGTGGCCAACCCCCAGCTGCAGGTCCAGTCACTCACCCTCACTGGCACGGTTGCCATTCATGAAGATGACACCCAGAATCACCAAGAGGAGACCGAGCTTGGGTGTGTCTTTGGTCCTAAGGGAATATAGAAAGAATGTATTTTCAGCAGCCATTTGCATGAGAGACCCCAACCAGCTTACCCATCTAGCCTCCCCAATATTCCTCAGCTAGGGGAGAATTATACCCCAGCTCTGCCCATGACCTGCTATGTGACCCTGAACCCTGGACCCTGATCTATGTGAAACTCCTGGAAAAAAAGCACCACTGAGAAAGGCCATGTTCCACCTTCTTTCCCATCTTACGTTCCCAGTATGCCAGCCAGGGACTCGGGGGTACTGATGAGAATATACAGGTGTTCTTCTTTGTCAATTTCTTTCAGCTGAATCCCAAATTTCTACAGGGACAAGAAAACAGACCATGAAATTACAACATCTAGCATAAGCTACCCATAGGCAGACACTCACCTCCCTGAGACTTGCCCTAAACTCCCAATAGGAACCCCATGAATCTTTGAAATCAACTTTCCCCATTATTCCTGTCCCCCAGGGCTGCCTTCTCACCTTCTCTAGGACAAAGCATGCACGTTCAATGATTTCTGGATAAACATCAGTGTATTCACGGATGATATCTCTCAGCATTTCTGTAGGAGAGAGGAGGGAGCCATCTGAGCCGAGCGGAGGCCACAGAGCAGCAGTCCCTTTGCCAGCCCTGCTGTGGGTAGCACAGTCAAGGTCCTCAAGGGTGAAAAGAGCCAACCATGGAAAGGAGGGGACAGAAGGGGAAGGGTCATACAAGCAGAAGAACACCAACAGAGCATGGAGTGAAGGGAAGGGTAGAGCTTGGGGAGGGGACACGGATGCCTACCTGAGCGCTTGATGGGCACCTTTGTGTAGTCCTTAAGCATCAAATACTTGACCAACTTATTTGCCTGGGAGGGAAAAAGGAAATCATTAAACATATAAGATATTTACAAAAAATCTTGGTTGAATTATAGATGAGAGGGTGACAAAGAAAAGAGCAAGAGAAGGGAAAAGTGACTGGGGAGTTACAGCTCTTACTCTTTCCTGAAGAAGGGCCACATCTCGGGGCTGTGCAGCACCCGGGTTCTGTGAGGCACGCGAATTGGGGGAAGGGCGCAGGTTAGGCGAGGGGCGCAGGTTCTGCCAATCAGGTGGAATTGGCCAATCAGCGGGGATCCAGTCAGGTGGTAGTGGCCAGTCAGTGGGAAGTGGCCAATCGGGTGGCAGTGGCCAGTCGGGTGGTAGCGGCCAGTCAGGAGGACCTTGCCAGTCTGGAGGACCCTGCCAGCCTGGTGGGGTCTGCCATCCAGGTGGGGTCTGCCATCCAGGTGGATTCTGCCAGGCCAGTGGATTCGGCCAGACAACAGGGCCAGGCCAGACAATGGGGTTTGGCCAGATCACTGGGTTCTGCCAAGCAACTGGGTTCTGCCAGGCTGGTGGGGTCTGCCTAGCTGGAGGGCTCTGACGTGCTGGTGGGGTCTGCCTGGCTGTCTGGTTTTGCCAGCCTGAGGGGTTCTGCCAAGCCAACGGCGTCTGCCAGAGCACGTTGGGGGGTGCGCCAGGTGGGTTCTGAGTGGTCACTGGAACTGGTGCAGACCTCCAGGTCCCTGCAGCCAGTGGGGCCCGCCTCTGATCCCCACTGCTGTTCTCTTCAACATTCAAGTTATTAATCTTGCGGGTCCTCTTGCCCCAAATTATTGTCCGGGACTCCAGATTCTGAGCCTGGGAACCATCTGCTGATGTCTGTGCAGTTGCACCGTCAGATTCAGAGATACCTGGGTCGGTCTCTATGTCAGCCTGGGAAGTGGCCATTTTGGCCTGATTTACATTCTGGGTCTGGGTATCAGCTGTTGGGGACTTAGTGGTATCATTCCAAGCCTTGAAGGGGGTCTTAGGCCTGCTGTTGGCCAGGTCATTGGCATTGAGAGACTGAGAGAAATTGTAGGTGGCATTTGGGCCCACTTTAGTAGTGGCATTCTGGGCCTTAAAGGCCATCTCAGACTTGTTAGCAGCTAACTCACCAGTGGTTGCTGCCTGGGAAAAATCATAGGCAGCATTTGGACCCTTTGGGGTGGCATTTTGGGACTTAAGGGCTGCCTTGGGCTGCGTGTTGGGCACGTCCTTGGCATTATGAGCCTGAGAGAAATCATAGACACCATTTGGGCCTTTTGTGGTGGCATTCTGGACTTTAAAGGCTGACTTAGGCCTAGCGGCAGCTGCTGAAACCTGAATGTCAGCCATCTCATTGGCAGTTGGGGGCTGTGAACTCTGGGGACTAGCAGCTGCAGTGGCCTGGTTAGTAGGTGGAGCCTCTGAGATCTGGATGGCCTCCATCAAGGTCTGCATAAGCAAGGCGCTGTCTTCTACAGAGGCCTCAGCCTGCAAACACAGGAGGGGAAAAATTAAATCTCTGGGCCTCTGAGGCAGGAGGTGGGGTGGAAATAGGGAGCCCGGGTGGCAGCGCAACAGGGGAGCTGCAGGCGGGTGGTGGGTGCAAAAACAGGGGGGCTGAGGCAGAGATCTAGGGGGCCCGCAAGGGGCGATAGGGGGCGGGGCGGGTACTAAACATGTGGCAGGGATGGAGTAGGGCAGGGGCAAAATGAGGGGTGGGGAGGTGTGCAGAGAGTGGGCAGGAACAGGAGCCAGGGACGCTCTGAGAGGCGTGCAGTAGCAGCTCAGGACGGGAGGCGGATCGCGGAGTTGAGAATAAGGGGGGTCGCACAGAGTGGGGAATGCAGAGAGAGGGAGGGTGGAGGCAGGAGGCTGGGGGAGGGGGTGACAGACTGCTCTACAAGCGTCAGGACTCTGGAAAAAAAAAATGGTTCCTTACCCACCCCGCATTCTCTGGGCAGATTGCCCTGACTACTAACAGGGTCTCCCCTCTCTCTGAGCAGGGACCGATGGCTGAAAAGAGACGCCCCTCCCCCCCTTCGATAAACGATGAGAATTCGAAAGGCCCACGGAGTCTAGTCACTAAAGAGGACCAAACCGGATCCCGGCGTTTGGGAAACCAAAGAGGCCCGCGGGGAGGGGTGACTGTCGGCTGGGGAAATGCTGGGGTGGGGAGTGGAGATCTCACCTGGAAGCCGAGGAGGCCCGCACCACAGTCCATTTTCTGAGCCATGGCTCCTGTCCCTCTGGCAAGAGCGGAGCCTGGGGGCTGTGGGAGAGGGGCAGGGCGTTATACTACAGAGGGCAAATACGAAGGACCGAATTGGGAGGGGGATGACTGTGGTCTGATTGTGCGGGCGGATAAGGTGAATGTGAGGAGGAACGGATCGGAGCGGGAAAAGTGAATGGGCGTCCAGATGCAGGTTCTGAACCCCGAGAAGCTACTGACAGGGAGATGCTTCAAATCGGGGTTTGGGAAGCAGATGAGTTCTGAATTCGCGGGGGAGGGGTGCGGTTGGGTTGGGATTCGCATTTGGGAAGTTGCATGGAGGTTTTGAGTCAGGAGGAATCATCTAACAGTACAGATCGAGGTCAAGGAATCTGAGGATTTCGAACGATGGGAGGGATCGGACAGGGGTTTTGAATCAGGAAGGATCGGGAGGGGCATGTGAATTGGGGCTTGGGGGGTGGAAAGGGATTCAGAATCCAGGGTGAAGGGATCGGGATAAAACAAAAATGGGGGCCCGCACCAGGGGGCAGATGCCCTGTCTGGGGGCTAATTCTCACCTTGCCTCAGGCCCCAACCCCAACCCCCTCGCTGCCTCCCTTCTTCACGACTCAGAGGATCGGGATTGCTGGGCTCGGCTCTCAGCAGCCGCACTCTCTCCTTGTCCAGGAGAAAATGCCAGCGCGGCAGCTTGGGCGACCCCGCCTCTTCGCCTAATATACCACCCACCGCCTCAGGACGTTACGCGCATGCGCAAACACTGAAGAGCCAAAGTCAGTCCCGCCTGCTTTCCCAACAAAAGCTTCGTCCTGGAGACCATGATGCGCATGTGCGCTGGAAGGCGGTCCCGCCCCCTTTGCCAACACACCACCCCACCACCAACCAGGTCGACACTATACAACAGCACCTCCCCTTCCTCTACGCCCCCTCCCCCAACAGATGCGCTGTGCCTCTTGGTCACACCCCTTGCCCCACACACCGGCCCCCTACCTTTTCCGCAATGCGTCTCTATTCCGTCCCTCCCCTACTCAAGGCCCCTCCTGTCAGGTCGGCTTGCATCTCCACCCCCTTGCCCAGCACGCTTAGGTCTCTGTGTGGGGTCTCTAATTGCAACAAGTGTTAGACCTCCGCTGAGGAAACGGAATGGCCTGAGAGGATACACTATTGGAACTAACAAAGTAGTAGTAGTAAGTCTGTGGCTGCCACGTGACTCCATGATTTCTCCCCCACTCCCTGCCCGCCCCCACAAGCTCCCAGACGCAGAAAGAACGTTAGTTTCTTCCCTGTTCTTTATGCAGCTCCGGTGATGGACTCATTTGTGTGTGTTGGGGGAGGAAAGGAGGGAAGGGCACAGCTTGTACATCACAGCAGGATTTGTGCTGGGGCTTGTCTTCCCGTCACAGCAGCCCTGGGAGGTGAATGTCAGCACCCTCATTTTACAGATCAGGAAGATGAGGCACATATACATTGCATAAATTAGACAAGGCCACAGAGCCAGAAAACAAAATGCAAAATTTGGGTCTGGGTCTTCCTGACTCCAAAACCCACGTTCTGCTCATGCTGCCCTGGGGACTAAGGGTACCCCTCCCTCCTCCATTTGAGCAACAGACCACGGCACCCCATTTGTCCTAAACAAGCAAAGTTTGTGTTCTAGGAGGCCCAAGCTCATGCTCTGCATTCAGGAGGACACAAGCAGAAGCCCCCACCCTCCCCCCTGCCCTATGTGGGTCCATCCAGGTGTGGAAATTGCTCCTTGGGGTCCACCCTGTGCTCAGAACGTCAGGCCTCTTCCTTATCAGGGATACAATCACACTGTCCCTGAGGCCTTCTGGTGCCCACTGGAGCAGCCAGGACAATCAGACCTGTGTGTCTGAGCCATGGCAAGCCCTGGTTCCTTTCAGGGCTGGGGTCTGGGGCAGCTGTGGTCTTATGGAGAGAAACTGGGCTGGGCTTCAGAATTCCAGGGATGGAGTGCCCAGCCTGTCTGTCTCCAGCTGTGTGAGCCCGCTCAGGTCACTCAATTCTCTGAGCCCGGTTTCTCAATGTGCAAAGTGGAATGCACAGCAAGTGGGTCCTACCCAAGAACACACACGCTGCTATGCTTCCAGGATAACTGGAGAAACTCAAAAAGGCAGAAAATTAAATACAGATGTGAGGTGACTCAAATTAAACTGGTACATTTCCAAAATTCAAGACAGATCTTTGTGCAGTTCACATTTGTTCTGGCATCAACTCATGCCAGAAGCCTGCACATGAAAGGAAGCTAATGCTAGGAAGGACTGCAGCATTTGGTCCCCAAGGGCCAACATCAGTTCTGCCTGGCTGGATGACTTTCCTAATCTGTTGCATAGCAACCTCCTCTGTCAGCTGCCTGTTTTTCCTCAGCACTTCCTCTGTAAAGTGTCTGCAGTGAGACGTGATCAGACTCAGGAAAGGAGGTCGGAAACACAATTTTCTATGCTGTTTCCATATCTGTATCTTCAGTTATAACTTGCCCTGTGAATTCTAGATCCATAGTAACTACCTACCTCACTTCTCCAAATGGATATCTCTCAGTATTCTCTAAATTAACAGGTCCCAAATCAATTCCTTCATACACCTCCTCCTTCCCACCAACACAGTGTTTCTCCTCTAGTTATGCTTTTCTCTCCCATTTAGAGTGTAAACCTCTTAGGGAGATAGATTTTTGTTTTATTCATTGTTGTTTCCCCAGCACCTAGAACCATGCCTGGCACATTTTTATATCCTCAATAAATATTTGTTAAATGAATGAATCACTCTCCATCCCATTGCTAAAGCAAGAAACCTGAGAGGCAATTTTTCCTGTGATCAATTCACTTATTTTTCCTCATTATACAAATAATGCATATTAATCACTATACATTCAAACACTGCCTAAATATTTTAGAAATTAAATAAACATCACTCTAAATCTCATCACCTTGGACAATTGCTTAGATTTGGTGCTACCTTTTCATACTTTACACACATATATATTGTTACATAAATGATGTGTTATATACGCCAGACCTTAAACTTCATTCTTTTCCTTACTGCTTCCCACTTTCTTTCAATTCTACCTTCTCCTGTCAAACACTTGTTTTTAACACCATTTGATATCCCTCCATACTCAAAAATGTTTTATTTTTACAAATTTAAGATTACATGAACTTTTGTGTCTGAATTATCTTATTTGACAACAGTCTACCTCTGATTTGTTCTTTTAAATGACTGCATAATATTTCATGGTAAGAATGTACCACAATGTATTCAACCATTCCCCCATGGATGGAATCCATTTTAGTTTCAGGATTTTTGTGGGGAGCATGGCACATACAACAATATTGCAATAAAAATACTTGTACATATATTCTTATACTTTAATAATGAATGTTTGTCTTTATTTCCGTGACACCAGAAGCCCAGGAGTAAGACAGACATATGCTACAAGACTTTATCATTTTTTTTTGCCAATCTTATGTGTATTTATTGGTATCTCCTTATGGTTTTAATTTATATTTCTGATAAGCAATGTGGTAGAACACATTTTTATACATAAATGAACATATTAGATTTATTTTGTAATATGCTTATGTCTTTTACCTGTTTTTCATCTGGGTTTCATCTGGGTTGTCTGTCTTACTGACTTTTAGGAGTTCTTTATATAGCTTTATAGATCCTTACTGAAAACCCTTGGGGCCAGACGTATTTCGATTTTTAACGTTTTAGTAAGGTCATATATATTCTTGCGTAACAGTTCCAACTGTAAAAGCCACAAAGGCCAGATATTCACTTCTTCACATGCCGTTGGCAGCTAAGAGAATGTGATCTAGGATTTACCAGTGTAGCAAGCTCCTGAAGGCCATCCTCAGATTCAATGATTTGCTAGAAGGACTCGGATAACTCAGAAAAAGTGTTATGGCTATTGTTTATTACAGTGAAAGGATACAGATTCAAATCAGCAAAAGTAAAAAGTGCATAGGGAAAAATTCAGGAGAGACCAGGCACAACTTTCCAGTTGTACTCTCCCAATGGAGTTGTATGACCAGTGCTTAATTCCCCCAACAATGATGCGTTTAATATGTATGACATACTGTCAACCAAGGAAGTTTACCCAAGCCTTGGTGCCCAGAGTTGTTTTTGGGGTTCAGTCAGATAGGCCGGGAGCACCTGTGTGGCTGACCTTATTCAGTCTCTAGCCCATGCAGAGGTTAAACTAGTACCTCTCAGCCCAAGGCTCACACCACAAATCACACTGTTAGCATAAACTATCCAGTGTGGGCCAAGGTCACAGTAAACAAAGACACTCTGATCAGGCAAGATACTCCAAGGGCTTACAGATTATCTCCCAAGAGCTGGTCAAGAGCCAAAGCATTCTTTGCAAAAGACCTTTTTTTTTGGAAAGCATAGGGTTTAAACATTGCAGACCTGCTGAGTCAACCCTTTCACTGCACAGTTATGACTTAGACCTAACACTTTGTCTCAAAGGAGTGATTCAAATATGCAGTGATGGAATTCATCGCCATAGCTGTGGTGGTGGGAGCAGCAGCCACAAGAAAATCCAGTTTCTAGGGGCAGCATTAGCAGCGGGGCTAACATCCAGGGTCCATGTTCAGTAGCAGCAGCAATGGTATCCAACCAGCTAATACATATGGCATGATTTTTTTATTTTTTAATTTTTTTTTTTTTTAAGACAGAGTCTCAATCTTTCACTCAGGCTAGAGTGCAATGGCGTGATCTTGGCTCACTGCAACCTCCGCCTCCCAGGTTCAAGTGATTCTCCTGCTAGAGCCTCCCGAGTAGCTGGGATTACAGGTACCTGGATAATTTTTCTATTTTTAGTAGAGATGGGGTTTCACCATGTTGGCCAGGCTGGTGTCGAACTCCTGACCTCAGGTGATCCACCCACCTCGGCCTCCCAAAGTGTTAGGATTATAGGTGTGAGCCACCACACCCGGCCCTATGGCATGATTTTTGAAATATAACTGGTGCCCTACTGCTTTTCGGTAATATTTTATTAATTCTGTTTTTAAAAAACTTTTAAAACTTTTTATTTTGAAATAATTACAGATACACGGGGAATTGCGAGGATAGTACAATGAGGTTCTATGTACTCTTTATCTGCTTCCCCAATGGTTACATCTATGTAACTGCAGTACAAAATCAAAACCAAGACACTGACATTGGTACAATGTGTATATAGTTCTCTATCACCTTATCACATGTGGAAGTCTCTACAAACACCACAGCAATCAAGACACAGAACTATTTCATCACCACAAACATTTCCCTCATACTACCCCATTATAGTCACAACCAACCCTCCTCCACAACCCCCATCCCTAACCATCTCTATAATTTTATCATTTCAAGAAGTCATGAAAATGTAATCATACAATGTGTCACATTTTGAGATTGGCTTTTTTCACACTCAGCATAATGCCTGTGAGATCCATCCCAGTTGTCTTGTGTATCAGAGTTTCTCATTTTACTGTTGAGTACTATTACATGGTATAGAGGTGCTACAACAGTTGGTTTAACCATTCACCCACTGAAAGACATCTGGGTCATTTCCAGTTTGGGGCTACTGTGAATGAAGCTGCTATACACATTTGTGTACAAGTATCTGTGTAGTTCCCATTTCTCTGGGATAAGTACCCAAGAGTGCAATTGTTGGGTCATATAGTAAGTGCATGTTAGTTTTACAAGAAATTACCAAACTTTCCTAGAGTGAT